GTGTGGGTACATCGCTTTCTGCTAATCTGTCTTCTTCATATCCTGGGGTTCTTCTGGTTACTTTTATCAGCTCTAAACTGTAAGTTATTAGCCAAGCAGGCATCCGTTCTTATATGAGAAGCAAAATAAAGCATGAAACAGAGAATCAATGTAAAGATTGCGAATTGCGCCGAGACATCACCTTGCTGACAAAGGTCTGTACAGTGGTACCTCGGGTTACAGATGCTTCAGGTTACAGTCTCCGCTAACCCAGAAATAGTACCTCGCGTTAAGAACTTTGCTTCAGGATGAGAACAGAATCGTGCGGCGGTGGCACAGCGGCAGCGGGAGGCCCCATCAGCTAAAATGGTACCTCAGGTTAAGAACAGTTTCAGGTTAAGAACAGACCTCCAGAACAAATTAAGTTCTTAACTGGAGGTACCACTGTATGGTTTTCCCAGTAGTGATGTATGGAAGTGAGAGCTGGGCCATAAAGAAGGCTGATCGCTGAAGAATTGATGCTTTTGAATTCTGGTGCTGGAGGAGACTCTTGAGAGTCCCATGAACTGCAAGAAGATCAAACCCCTCCATTCTGAAGGAAATCAGCCCTGAGTGCTCACTGGAAGGACAGATCCTGAAGCTGAGGCTCCAAGACTTTGGCCACCTCGTGAGAAGAGAAGACTCCCTGGAAAAGACCCTGATGTTGGGAAAGATGGAGGGCACAAGGAGAAGGGGACGACAGAGGACGAGATGGTTGGACAGTGTTCTCGAAGCTACCAGCATGAGTTTGACCGAACTGGGGGAGGCAGTGGAAGACAGGAGTGCCTGGCGTGCTCTGGTCCATGGGGTCACAAAGAGTTGGACACGACTAAACAACAACAAATGTTGTATAAATAAAGAATTGCTTAGAAGCACTTATTCAAAATCTTGGCCAACCCCAACCTCTCTCACCACCAAAGGAACACAAACGAATAGCAGAGAACCTGCACAAGAGACGCTGACACAAATCCCCACATATATTAAGTAAAATACAGTGGTACCTCAGGTTACATACGCTTCAGGTTACAGATGATTCAGGTTATGGACTCCGCTAACCCAGAAATATTACCTCGTGTTAAGAACTTTGCTTCAGGATGCGAACAGAAATCGTGCTCCAGCGGCGCAGCAGCAGCGGGAGGCCCCATTATCTAAAGTGGTGCTTCAGGTTAAGAACAGTTTCAGGTTAAGAATGGACCTCCAGAATGAATTAAGTACTTAACCTGAGGTACCACTGTAGAAATATCGCCACCCGACCCCACCCCCACTCATCTTCTCCCCCTCCACCTCTTTCCCCCTTTTATTCTTAATATCTCAACAAATGAAACTGATCTGTTTGAAATGTTACTTGAAAAAAAAATAGAGACATTGCACATACTTTTGGAAACAAAGAAAATCTTTTATATATATATATATATATATATATATATATATATATATTAATAATAATATCTTTATTGTCATTGCCCCTTCGGGGACAACGAAATTACTTGACTGCTCCATAAAAACACTAATTAATCAATACAGTATAATACAGCAAGGGAGATTAGATGACTTTCAAAGTCCGGGCTTCCCATTCAGGGCCGAGATCGCTCTGGAGAAGAAGCTGTTCTTAAGACGGCTCGTTCTTGTCTTCATCGTCCTGTATCTCCGTCCCGACGGCAAGAGCTCGAAGAGACAGTGACCAGGATGCGATGGATCTTTTACTATGTCCAGTGCCTTCCTATGGCACCTTGTGGCATAAATCTGCTCTAAGGTGGAGAGTGGGCAGCCAACAATGCTCTCTGCTGCCTTAACAACCCTGCACAACCCCATCCTGTCCTGGGTAGTACAGCTTCCGTACCACACACATAAGCCATAAGTGAGCACGCTCTCAATGGCACAGTGATAGAAGGCAAGCAGCAGTTTCTGCGGAAGATGGTTTTTCCTTAGTATTCTCAAAAGTACAGTCTCTGCTGCGCCTTCTTCACAAGCCCCCTTGTGTTGACACTCCAGGACAGATCCTCTTGTAATTCAATGCCCAAAAATCTGAACGTTGTTACCCTCTCCACACAGACCCCATCAATCAAAAGTGGCTGGACGTTGCTCTTCTGTCTCCTGAAGTCCACCACAAGCTCCTTTGTCTTCCTTGTATTTATGAGCAAGTTGTTAGCTCTGCACCACTCTGTCAGCCGCTCCACCTCATCTCTATAATCCGTTTCACCCTCCCTTTCAGGGATGAGCCCAATCACGGTTGTGTCATCTGCAAATTTGACAACCCTATTACTAGGGTGAGTAGCGACACAATCGTACGTGTAGAGAATATAAAGGAGCGGACTGAGTACGCATCCCTGTGGTGTTCCTATGTTAGTCTTGAGCATATTAGAGGTATAGGGGCCCAACCGAACCCTCTGGGGGCGGTCTGACAAAAAGTCCAATATCCACCCACAAAGTGATAACGGAAGCCCCAGATCTTCCAGTTTAGACATCAGACGTTGTGGTAGAATGGTATTAAATGCCGAGCTGAAATCTAAAAAAAGCAGTCTGGCATAACCCCCCCGCTGCTCCAAATGTGCAAGGACGGCATGGAGGGCAATCGCCACAGCGTCCTCTGTCGATCTTTTCGTTTTATAAGCAAATTGGAATGTGTCCAGTCCCTCTGGTAGGCAGGCAATGACATAATTTCGTACCAGCTTTTCAAAGCACTTCATGATTATAGGTGTGAGTGCTACTGGACGAAAATCATTCAGATCTTCCGGGTTAGATTTTTTTGCTATTGGAACGATAATAGAGGACTTTAGGCAGGATGGAACAATAGCCTGGGCTAGGGATCGATTTAAAATCCCAGTGAAAACTCCTGCTAGTTGATCTGCACAGTCTCTCAATACCCTTCCAGCTACCCCATCTGGCCCTGTGGCCTTCCTTGGGTTGATTCCCTTCAACACCTTCCTCATCTCTTCTTTTTCCACAGAGACTACTGCATTCCTTTGTACTGATGATGGTAATGGTGGTGATGATGGCAAAGCCTTCACAGGGAGTGGTGGTGGTGTTGGTAAAGCCTCAGCAGGTGTTGCTGCAGATGTTACTTCAAAACGGGCAAAAAGGGCATTCAAATCCTCTGCGAGGGATGCCCCTCCCTCGTCTGCCAGGGAGTCCTTGGATTTATACCCTGTTAATTCTTGTACACCTTGCCACACCTGCCTGGTGTTGTTACTTTGTAGATGATTCTCCAGCCGCTGTCTATACGCCTCCTTTGCTACACGGATACCTCTCTTTAGATCGGCTCTAGCTAAGCTGTACAGCGACTTATTTCCACTTCTGAAAGCAGTATTTCTTGCCTTTAGCAACCCCTGGACCTCCCTTGTCATCCAGGGCTTCCTGTTTGGGTAGATCTTTATCCGGCGCCTCCGTGTTACATTGTCAGTGCAGAACCTAATATAGTCCAACACTTGCTCAATATGAGTCTCTACATCCTGTTGGGCGAATACCTCCCAATCGGTGTCATGAAAACAGTCTTGTAGTTGTTGGGATGCTTCAGCTGGCCATATTGTAATATCCCTCTTTATAGCTGGAATCCGTTTCCTCAATGGAATATATTCAGGAGTCAGGAGCAGGGACACATGATCAGATTGGCCTAGATGTGCCAATGGTTCGGCCTTATAGGCCTGTTTGACATTTGTATACAGCCTGTCCAGAGTCTTTTCTCCCCTGGTTGCACATTTTATGTGTTGATAGAATTTAGGTAGGACCACTTTCAAATCTGCCTGGTTGAAATCCCCGCATACAAGAAATGCAGGCTCGGGGTACTTGCCTTGTTGCCTGCTAATGGCATCATGCAGAAGACCCATTGCCTCATTGATGTTCGCATCAGGTGCAATGTATACTATAGTTATCAGTACTGCTGTAAATTCTCGGGGGATATATATAGGTCTGCATTTAAGTGTCATAAATTCCACAGTTGGAGAGCAATAGCTAGCTATCACAGCGTGGTTTGTGCACCAGCTGTTATTCACGTATGCACACAAACCTCCCCCCCTTCTTTTACCAGAGTCCTCTGTTCTATCATGGCGGAACACTGTATAGCCTGTTAGCTCTATGGCTGAGTCAGGAATAATTGGTGTCAGCCAAGTTTCTGTGAGCAGCAGAAGACAGCGTTCACTCACAGTTTTCTCCGTTGCTATCCACAATTTCCACTCCTCCAGCTTATTCACCAAAGATCTCACATTCGCATAGAAAATGCTGGGAAGCGGTAAGTTATAATGTTGTGTCTTCAACCTTAATTGCCTTAATCGCCTTCCTCCTCTACAGCCTCTCTTCTGTTTACGGTCTCTCCTGTGTCTCTTTACTCCCCAGTTCTTTGAAGTCATAAAATCTTCCTTGCAGATGCGGAGACACAATTTGTGCAGCACTCACTCTGTAGCCGAATAGATAACATGTCCTGCCGACTACAAACAAGTCTATTTTGGCAGGACACAAAAGCCAAATTCTGAGTTGAGGAGCAGCCAGTCGCAGCATCTACACGCGCCGCCGTGTATATATATAGGCTGAAGTATGTGCTCAACTAAATGTTTGTATAAAACATCTTATTTTATAAACGACGAAGAGGCAACAATATATTATTTCTCACACTATCCAACCTCTGCTTAAAACCCCCCTTTCGAACAGCAGAAAGTTCTTCCTGGTCTCTAGCCGGAATCTCCTTTCATGAATCCACTGGTTGCAGGTGTGCGAGTTTGCATCCCCCCGCTCGTTTCCCCCCTTTGCACAACGACCCTGCGATTTAGGCGCGGCGGAGGGGACGCCACCGGCCCAAGATCGCGCGCAACGAGGGCAGTCAGGGGTTCTGAACCGGAGCTTCCCAGGTCCTTAATCCGAGCGTAAAGCGCCGTCTCCGCGCGTGGCAAGGCTCAGCCAGAAAGAATGGGGGAAAAGAAGAATGTCTCGCCTTCTCCACGCCTCTGAAAGCCCTGGAGCTCCGCCCCGGCAGCCCAGACCGGAGGTGCTGCGAGGAGAAGCGTCCAGAGGCGGCGGCGAGGGGCGCCATGCCTGCCCGGGAAGCAACAGGATGCGCTTCGCAGGTAGGAGCGCAACCGGTGCAGTTGGGGTGCTGCTGGAGAGCCTGCAAAACTTGGGGTGGATCCCTGGATCGGGAAGGTGGCAGTTTCAGGCTACTGGGTGAAAGAGATCCACTTTTCAAGGCTTAGGCCGACCCGGATGCCCTGGCAAGGAGATGGGCTGCCCGCGCGCGCGCGCGCAGTTTTTGGAGACCTGGGGTGACTTTGGAACCAGCCTCCTTAGCCAGGTTTTTAAAGACCTTTGGAGGCAACCGAGCACTGGGAAGATTGTGGCGAACCACCCGCCCCCCCGCCCGATATGTAATTCAAAACAATACTAAAAATAATTTTAATGAGAATTACAAAAGCAGAAAGTTGCTCGGGTCTCTGGTTTCCTCGCCTTATTACAATCTAGGACGCGCGCCCCACCACCCGGTTTAGTTGGGGGAAATAAATAAAATGAGGACGGAAGAACGGGGAAGAGTTTAGGAGTGCAAGGAAGTCATAGCCAAGTTCGGATTTCCCTCCACGACGACTACAAAAATATCAAACGCAAAATTCTTTAAAATAAAATACTTTTTTTGAGGGGTGCGCCCGCATGCTGGTGCTTAAACGCATGTCTGGTCTGCCTGTTGGGCAATTCAGCGCTGCCTTTGCTTATCTGCATATATACTGTAATTCCAAATATTTTGCACTTGGAGCTCCTATCAGCCGCAGCCAGCAGGGCCTTCAGATCTGCTGTGCTGTGCTGTAATTTGAAACTTCCAGTGCTGTGTCTACCTTAAAGGGTTAAGGGACCCCTGACCATTAGGTCCAATCGTGGCTGACTCTGGGGTTGCGGCGCTCATCTCACTTTATTGGCCGAGGGAGCCGGCATACCAGCTTCCGGGTCATGTGGCCAGCTTGACTAAGCCACTTCTGGCGAACCAGAGCAGCGCAGGGAAACGCCGTTTACCTTCCCGCCAGATCGGTACCTATTGATCTACTTGCACTTTGACGTGCTTTCGAACTGCTAGGTTGGCAGGAGCTGGGACCGAGCAACGGGAGCTCACCCCGTCGCAGGGATTCGAACCGCCGACCTTCTGATCGGCAAGTCCTAGGCTCTGTGGTTGAACCCACAGCGCCACCCGCATCTACTTTAAATAATAATAATTTAAAAATTAAATGAAGCTCAGAAATGAATAATTGGTAAATCTGCATGTATGCCTTTCTGGCTAGCAAATGGACTCTTCTCTCCCCTAGGGTAGATTTAGTAAGCGGTTTTTCTGGTGACTGATATGTTTCTATGTGGGTGGCGGTTTGGGGTGCGGTGAATCTAGTGTGTTGAGTTTAGATAACATTTGAGGACCTCCTAACGAAGCCAAGACTTAAATGTGGAGCCATGCATGCAAAACACCCGAGCACCTTCTAAACTTGGCATATCAAAGCACTATCATATCCAGCGCTTTTTTCCCTGGGGGCATGCAGGAGTACACATACCCCTAAACATTTTGTGAATCTTAGCGGGAGAAGAAACATTTTTTTTTTTAATGGAATATGCAGAAATGGCAAGACTGGCGGGAAAGATCAGAAACCAGGAAGACCCAAGTATTTTTAAAAGACTGGAATAACTTTGTAACATATTTGAGAGATCACTGTACACAGCTGAAATCATTGGCAGGCTGTTTAAGTTTAATAATGATATTGGAAAGTTGTTACTTTCAACTACAAGGAAATTCAGAAGGGAGGGACTAGAGGAAGTCAACCAAGAGGTTTAAAAGGTTGGATTTGTAAAGAATTAAGTTTGTTGTTATTGTTTATCTGTTTATTGTTCCTTTTTTCTTTTTTCGTTCATTGATGTGTTTTTCTTTTTTTCCTGTTTTTGTGTGTCATTCTGCTTTGTGGTTTCTGTTATAATTGTGGAAAATCTAATAATTTTTTTTTTAAAAAATGAAATCATTGGCAGGAATACAATGACATTTGTAATGTAACATGGATTTTGGATACTATGATTATATCACAGATAGATTACAGTAAAAGATGCAGGAATAAAATTTAGAATTGGAGCCCATAGAGGGAAGGAAGGAGGTCTCAAGGTTTGAAAGAACCATTTTCTTTTTTAATGTGTGAAAATGTTGTATTCATGGTGTATAACTTTTATGTAAAACTAATTTTAAAAAATGATTCCTTTTTTATTATTGTTTTAGTTTCTTCTCTAACACGGTGAATCATCAATTCCGTTGCTACCCCCGATGGCGGCCTTTTGTCCATTAACTGTATTTATTTCCCCCAATTTGAAGTATAGAATGGTGATTTTCTTGAGTCAAAATGAGAGTACCCCTAAACATTTTTTAAGAAAAAAAGTACTGATCGTATCCTAGCGGTTCTCAGCCTGTGGGTCCCCAGATGTTGTTGGACTACAACTCCCATCTTCCCTGAGCTCTGGCCTTGCTAGCTAGGGGTGATGGGAGTTGTAGTTCAACAACATCTGGCGGAATAGCTCTGTCTTACAGGCCCGATGGAAGAAGGTTAAACCCTGAAGGGCCCTGGTCTCATGGGACAGAGCATTCCACCAGGTCGGAGCCATCACTGAGAAGGCCCTGGCCCTGGGGGAGGATAGTCTGACTTCATTAGGGCCCGGGACCTCTAAACTATGGTTGTTCATGGATCTTAAGGTCCTCTGCGGGGCAGACCAGGAGAGGCGGTCCTGTAAATACGAGGGCCCTAAGCCACAAAGGGCTTTAAAGGTCAAGACCAGCACCTTGAACCTGACCCTAGACACCACTGGGAGCCAGTGCAACTGGTAAAGCACTGGGTGAATATGCTCCCATGGCAGGGACCCCGCGAGGAGCCTTGCTGCAGCATTCTGTACCCGCTGGAGTTTCTGGGACAGTTTCATGGGCAGCCCCGTGTAGAGCGAATTACAGTAGTCAAGCCCATAGCTGTCAACCGTCCCTTATTTGGCGGGACAGTCCCTTATCCCAGCGCCATGTCCTGCTGCTGTCCCTTATTGATGACGTCCCTTAAATTTCCCGGGTTTCAAAGGAAGCAGCTCCTCTCCCTCCCTCCCTCCCTGCTGGCCAGGGAGGAGGGAGGCTCCAACTGTGTTGCTTGGCTGTGTTGCTCACCCAATAAGGAGTCTGAGAATGACTGGGGGGTGGAGCTTGCATGCCTTGTGCCGATCAAATCGGTCGCGTTGCCTGGGGACTCGCCTTTGCTCAGCGCTTCCCAGCGGAGAGGTGACGGTGGTTTTCCTTGCTGCATCCCCTTTGCCAGGTTGCTGCGCTGTGGGAACCACCGCTTGAGGCTTCATTTGGCTGCTGGCTGGGCTGTCTGCCTTTGGCTCGGAGGAGCTCAGAAGTTGAACATACCTGTGTTCAGAAAATCCCTTATTTTGGCTGCTGATCCCTTATTTTCGAGGCTGCTGGTCTCTTATTTACAAATCTGTAAGTTGACAGCTATGGTCAAGCCTGTTCTAGTGCAGGTTGTAAACCATTAGTCCAACCCCATGCAATGCAGGAATTGCAATGAAAGAACCCGTGATATCCAACTCTTAAAAAAAAATCCAACGAAGGAGATTCTTCCACTTTCCACTGTCAAACAGCTCTTACCACCAGACAGTTGTTCCTCATGTTTCGTTGGAACCTCCTTTCTCATCATGTGACTCTAAAATGGAAATGTTTCTCATTTCAGGCAACAGTGAGGTTTGAGGACGTCATTCTTTATTTCTCCAGGAGCGAGTGGAAGTCCCTAGCCAAGTGGCAGAAGGAGCTGTACTGGGAAGTGTTGACAGATAACTATGAAGCTTTGCTCGTTGCAGGTAAGGAGAATCCCGCAGCTGAAAAAAAGGCCTCCGCAAATATCACAACTTGACTTTCTATCAGTGAGAAAACGCAGATCCATCTTGTTCTCAAGATGTGGTGCATGCTCTAGATATCTCCCGCTTGGACTACTGCCATGCGCGCTATGTGGGGCTACCTTTGAAGGTGACCTGGAAACTGCAACTAATCCAGAATGCGGCAGCTAGACTGGGGACTGGGAGTGGCTGCTGAGACAAACATAACACCGGTCTTGAAAGACCTACATTGGCTCCCAGGACATTTCCAAGCACAATTCAAAGTGTTGGTGCTGACCTTTAGAGCCCTAAACAGCTTCGGCCCAGTAGACCTGAAGGAGTGTCTCTACCCCCATCGTTCTGCCCGGACACTGAGGTCCAGCTCCGAGGGCCTTCTGGCGGTTCCCTTCCCTCACTGCAAGAAGCCAAGTTACAGGGAACCAGGCAGAGGGCCTTCTCGGTGGTGGCGCCCACCCTGTGGAACACCCTCCCACCAGATGTCAAGGAAACAAACAACTATCAGACTTTTAGAAGACATCTGAAGGCAGCCCTGTTTAGGGAAGTTTTAAATACTTGATGTTTTATTCTGTTTTTTATCTGTTGGGAGCTGCCCAGAGTGGCTGGAGAAACCCAACCGGATGGGCAGGGTAAAAATAAACAACAACACAACTACTACTAGTTCTTGGTTTAAGAACAATCCTGTTTACGAACGATTCGGTTTACAAACTCCGCAAAACCGGAAATAGTGTCTTGGTTTGAGAACTTTACCTAAGAACGGAATCTGAACATTGGTAGGGCACTGGCGGTGAGAGGCGGTGAGAAGCGTGTCTCAGTTTAAGAACGGTTTTGGTTTAAGAACGGACTTCCGGAACGGATTAAGTTCGTAAACTGAGGTACCACTGTATTATTATTATTCCTTAGTTACTTGTAACTAGGGAAGCCATTCCTACAAATTCATTTTGGCTGATGGCCAGAAACCTACTGCTCATCAGGATTCGAAATCTGTGGGACCAGAAATTCACAGAAGACTGGTGTAAATTTACAGACTATTTGAAAAGTAATTGTGATGATCAGACTACGTTTGTAGGTTTGCAAGAAGTTTTGTGAGGTGAATTATTGGAACTATTGCAAAAATGGATAAAGGGGAGGATGGTTAGTTAAGATAATTAAAGGCAATATGAATTTAATAAATGCATACGAAGTAGTTAAAATGGTGGATCATCAGAGGTGCTGATGGAAGTCCAAAAAAAAGATTATATAAGTGGTGAAGTTTTGTGGTATGTATTATAATTTATATGTTAAAATTAATAAAAATTATTATATATAAAAAAGAAACCTACTGCTCATCTTCAGCCAAAATTCATTAGTCTCTTTTCAGGCTGGAAAACCTCAAAATCGTTGCCAGTGAATCAGAGTGGGGTTTTTTAGGGGCAGGTAGCAACAGTAGATTAAGTGGAGTGTCTGAATTCGCTTTTTTCTAAAAGAGGAGCTGATGAAGGAAGGGCGAAATCGCAAGCATGCAGAGAACAAGTCCTCTTTGTCGAAATATTGTTTCCGACGCTGTGTTTTCTGTCTCCCTCATTTCCCTCTGTGAGCAGGGCAGCCGGTCACCAAAGCAGAAGTTGTGGCGTGGCTTGAGCAGTGTGAACGTCTGGATATCGAAGGAACCCAGGAATCTAGATTCAGAGACCCTGATGCAAATGTTTCTGCAAGTGAGTGGAAATTAAAAGTGGAATGAGTTGGAAGGGCAGGGTGCCGAGACCCCAAATCTACGCAAAAGCTCCGAAAGGGGGAGGACTCAGTTGACGATTATAACTGCTGAAAGAACAATGGCCAGCCGTTAATTTAAGTTAATACATTGCAAGGGGTGTAACCCGACTGGATTCTTACCAATCCAAATGGAAAGCTAGGTAAAGGGTAAAGGGGCCCCTGACCATTAGGTCCAGTCGTGGCCGACTCTGGGGTTGCGGCGCTCATCTTGCTTTATTGGCCAAGGGAGCCGGCGTACAGCTTCCGGGTCATGTGGCCAGCAGGACTAAGCCGCTTCTGGCGAACCAGAGCAGCGCGCGGAAACGCTGTTTACCTTCCCACCACAGTGGTACCTATTTATCTACTTGCACTGGTGTGATTTCGAACTGCTAGGTGGGCAGGAGCAGGAGCAGGGACTGAGCAACGGGAGCTCACCCCGTTGCGGGGATTCGAACCGCCGACCTTCTGATCGGCAAGCCCTAGGCTCTGTGGTTTAACCCACAGCGCCACCTGCATCCCTAATGGAAAGCTACACTGCATGAAAAGCTAAGAGGCTTGGGGTTTTCCCCACAGGCCCTGATAGCTGTAGGTTATGAGAAAGCTAGAGCAATAATCTGCCAACGAATTTGGGATGTGGAACTGCAATGCCACGTGAGTGAGATGAATAAACACCCAGCAATGAAAGATAACAGGAGGGGATTTACCCCAGCAAATTATTTGTCAAAATTACAAATACAGATGGTCATTTACCCTCGCTAGGTTCAACGTGCTGGGCAGATTTGAGGGTAGACAATTCGCAGAACGAGTCTGCCCCTGCGGCTTGATGGAGGTAGAAACTGTCTCTCATGTCTTGTTACGCTGCTGTTTCTACGGGGATATACGCTCGGTATTTATTACCCCTGCTATGCAAAAATCTCCAAATGAATCCGAACTTCAGTGTCTAAAATCCCTGGAAGAGGACAAGGATCTTGAGATCACGTTAAGGGTAGCCAAATTCTGTGCATTTGCCATAAAACTTAGGGAACAAGCTGTGCTATCATAATGCTTAAGGTTTTAAATGAGAATTTTAGGTTATATGTTAGTGACTACGTTTTAATTTATATATTTTTTGACTGTTGCTATATCTGTATTGCCCCTGTTATACCTAATTTGCAAATTCAAATGTATCCCTATCGTGTTTTATGACTTCCTTGATATTGTATGTGGGCTGGAACCGGTCTGTGACCGAAATAATAAAATTCTATTCTATTGCAAGGGGCGCGACTTGATATCTCTTGAGGTCCTTTCCAACTCTACAGTGAAAAATTGCAAATGGAAGCTTTCTTTAAAAAAGGAATTGATGAACCCAAATTAGTTATGCCTACTAATGGCAATGGTTCTGCTCTGAGTACGGACGGATGCGACCCTTTCACCTGTTCCGTTGTCCACAGAGAAATAATTCCACGTTCTCTCTTCCCCTCCAGCAAACGACGGGCCCTCGAAGGCATGTTGTGAGGAACGCACAGGGCAGGCAGGATCTCGCGAGACGCTACGCGACAAGTCTAAGGAGGTAGTGACCCAACGCGGTGATATAGGGGGCACCGCCAAGCAGACGTATTTGTCAGCCGGACCACAAGGGAAGCCTGCAAAGGCTGAGCCTCTTTTGCACATCAAGCATGGGCAAAGTCCTGGAAGCCCGGCCTGCTCCCAGAGGCCTGCCGTTCCACCAAAACAGTATAAATGCAGGGAGTGTGGCAAGAGGTTCCGGCTGGAAGGGCTGCTTCGAATGCATCAGGAGATCGCCGCGAGGAAGATGTCCGTTGCTTGCTCTGTCTGCGGGCTGTGCTTCACGAGCCCTTTGTCTCTGAGGATGCACCAGAGAACGCACCTTCCTGCTGTGGCGGACGGGGAGAAGGCCTCTCCCGGGAAGAACCGTCTGAGCGCGCAGCAAGCGCCTGAGAAGTTGCACCAGTGCGCAGACTGCGGGGACCGATTTCGTGGGTTCCTCGACGTCCTCCGGCACCAGAAAAGCCACGAGGAGGCTAGACCCCGGCCGTGCGTCCAGTGCGAGGCCTCCTTCATGCACCGGATCGACCTCGCCACGCACGAGGAGGGCCACTTGGAGGAAGCGCTGAAGAGGCACGATCGGCGCAGGCGGAAGTGTCTCTGCAAGCTCGCCTTCCGGCTGCACTTCGCGTCGCTGCTCGGACGTGGCGTGCGGGGAGACCAGGCCGCCTCGCAGGAGCAGGACCCCGAGCGACTGCACCAGGACGAAGATGTCAGAGGCGAGACGCCGTATCCCTGCACCGGATGTGGGCTGCTATTCAAGTGGGAAGAGAACCTCAAGGTACATTACAGGTACTGCAGTGCGCAGTGGTTGCAGAAGCCTCCGTTAAACGCCTCCTCTCCAGTCGCTCTGCCGGGGGAACACCAGGAAGATAGCGACAAGCATGGGGTCGCCCGGCCGGCTTCCGAGGGCAGCCGCGGCGACATGGGACTCCCTCACCCTCCCTCGCAAGCCTCCTCTGCTCAGCACGCTTGCCCGGAGTGCGGCAAACACTTTGCCTCTAAGGGCAGCCTCCGCAGGCACAAGAGGAGGCACAAGGCTGCGTTGCAGCGCCGCCAGAGCGTGGCCCACACGGACGGCGGCGGCGGCAGCTCCGGCAGCCCCGCCACGGCTTGCGCCACCAAGAAGCTGTACAAATGCCAGGAGTGCGGGAAGAAGCTGGTGTACAAGTGGCAGATGGCTGCTCACCAGCAAGGCCACGCCGAAGGGAAGAGTTTTATATGCCACCGTTGCGGGGAAAGCTTTGGGTTCAAGAGCGGTTTGCAGGAACACCGGTGTGCAGCAGGAGGCGCCGTGCCGGGCGAGGCCAGGCTGCTTTGCTGGTGCGGGAAGAGCTTGTCGAAGCTGTACTTTTTCAAGCATCAAGCCTTCCACGCGGGACTGAGGTATATGTGCCTCCTTTGCGGGAAGGTGTCGAGTTTCCAGAGTTCGGCCATCGCACATCGCCGCGACCATGTCAGAAGGGGGCAGCTGCTTGCGGCGGCGAGAGGCTCCGATCTCCTTTCCCACACAATAGAAAAGGTGTATATTCCACAGGGGCCGCAGCTGCAGAATCCAGAGGAGACGGGGCAGCCCAGTGATGGGTTTCCAACCGGCCAGGAGGCCCCGGCGGAGGGTGGGAAGAGCCCTTGGCAGAAATGGAAGCTGAAAACTCCCCGGATCACCCTCCCGAAGCCCTTCAGGTGCAGGGACTGCGGGAAAGCCTTCGCCTACCTGGCTCGCCTGCTGTTGCACCGCAAGGAACACACGGGCGACTTCCCCTTCCAGTGTGCCGAATGCGGCAAGGGCTTCATCAGCAGAAATTACCTCAGCCTGCACTGGAAAATACACACCAAAGAGAGTGCGTGACCGCCTCTGGATCAGGGCCACGGCGTCCTCCTGGCTTTCCCAGATTCCACCTCCTGTCCTCATCCCCGACTGGGGCTGATGGGAGTTGGGAGCCCAAATGATATCTAGATGATGATGATGATGATGATTATTATTATTATTATTATTATTTGTACCCTGCCCATCTGGCTGGGTTTCCCTAGCCACTCTGGGTGGCTTCCAACAAAGATTAAAAATACGGTACATTAAAATGTCACACATTAAAAACTTCCCTTAAGTCATCTTGTGGATAAATATGTCATGAGAAATAAACGAAAACTCTTTGTGGCATTTGTGGATTTAAAAAGTGCCTTCGATTCGGTCGACCGTAACAAACTATGGACTAAACTAGGACACCTTGGTATCGACCCATATCTACTTACACTGATTCAAAGTTTACATTCTAATAACCAAATATATGTTAAAGTATCAAAAGATGGTAGACTTGCAGGTCCTATTCTGAATAATTGAGGAGTTAGGCAAGGCTGTATCTTGGCCCCTACCTTATTTAATTTATTTTTATCTGACCTACCATTATTTCTTCAAAACGCAACCACTCATACTCCTTATTTAAACAATAGCCCACTTTTTTTATTACTTTATGCAGATGATGCTGTAATTATTTCACTCTCTGTTTTGGGTTTAAAAAAATTATTTAAGAGTTTCTCAAACTACTGCTCTCTCAATAATCTCAAAATTAATTACGATAAGACAAAGATTATGCAATTTGGAAAGAGAGGGAACCCAAAAGGCTGTATAATCAATGGACATTTAATACAGGAAGTTCAGCACTTCAATTATCTGGGAATCACGTTTAAAAATAATATGAATTGGAATACACATATATGTGCTGCAATAGTTAAGGCCAAAGTGACAGCCCACCATATTAAATCCTACTTTTTTTCTCCAGTAGGAAACAGATTTATTCCAGCTGTATTGCAAGTGATTGACATGAAACTTTGTGCCCAACTTCTATACGGCACACCAGTGTGGATTTCAGGTGACCTCAAGAGGTTGGATAAATTCCACGCATCCCTTCTGAGGTCATTATTAGGACTTGCAAACTCTGTAAAATATGAAACAATATGTTGTGAGCTGGGAATATTGCCTTTATCAGTAAGAGCATGGTTGAGGACCTTGAAATATTGGATCTTCCTCCATTATAGAGCCCTATCCCCTAATTCTCTACTTTACGATCTTTTAAGTGATAGTGCAATCTACAATCTATCATTGATTTGTAGGAGAAAACTGGATTTGATAGGGCTCACTCTAATTGATTTTGAAATCTCTGATCCCAAAGACATATGGGAAATTATCAGGAAGACTCTTACAGAAAAAAGTGTTCTCGCCATGCTTGAGGCTGCAAAGCGCAGCACTTGCTCTCCTATCCACTTAAATCTCCCTTTGTGTAGAGATTTCTAAAAGGGATACATGACAAATCTGAAGAAACATGAATCGTGTAGGCTGCTTATGTTGGCCAGATTTAACCTGTTTCCCTCGGTGGTAGTGAGAGGAAGATACTTAGCTATCCCAGAATCAGAGCGTCTCTGCAAATGCAGAAAACAGGAACCCGACACTCTAGAGCATATATTCTTTTCCTGTGATTTTGGTAGTTATGCCAGAAAACAATTATTTGAGGCCCTAAAAGTTAATAGACAGATTTTTACTCCACCAACTGTTCAGGACCTGCTGGCGGACAGCGATGATCAAACCACTATAATAGTGGCTGAATTTTTAAGTGCTGTCCATGAAGAAAGAATGGGCCATGATAAAGAGACTTAGTGGTTTTTAATGGTAGGTGATGTTGCTGTGTTGTTGTATTATATTATCTATGTACATCGATTTATTTCTTGGAGTTAAGAATAGGACTGGGATAAATTGTGTTCGCTGAGCCCATATTTTATACAGTCTGTATATGATGTTTGTTTGTTAGTGTGTGGTGTGCTATGCCTAATAAAGGATTTAGAAAACAAAACAAAAAAACTTCCCTAAACAGGGCTGCCTTCAGGTGTCTTCTGCATGTCAGGTAGTTGTTTATCTCTTTGACATCTGGTGGGAGGGCGTTCCACAGGGCGGGTGCCACCACCGAGAAGGCCCTCTGCCTGGTTCCCTATAGTTTTGCTTCTCGCAGTGAGGGAACCACCAGAAGGCCCTTGGCGCTGGACCTCAGCATCTGGGCAGAACGATGGGGGTGGAGACGCTCTTTTAGGTATATCTAGAAAGGACCATGTAGGAAGGGAAGTGCCTGCTAGCCGGCTGCTTGTCATGGGTGGGCAGAAGAATCTCAAGCCCGGGAACTTGAGAGCAGCTCCCAGAATCCTCTGTCATTGCGCAGGGTGCCTCTGAGCATGCTGTTCCTCAGCGCACGGAAGCAGCGCCCCTAGAGGCTGCTGGGAAAACAGCCCCTCAGAGCATGCAGCGAGTCGGAAGAGGGGTGAGCAAGACTCGAATCCATGCCATGTATTTAGAGGACGTTGCTTCTCCTACAAAATCCCTGGGAACTGTAGCTGATCCTCTGCGGAGCTACGGTTCTCCATGTACGTTAAGTGGTCTTTGCACGTCGGATGCAGATGTGACCTTAGTTAGGTGTCCTCTTTTTCTCGCTGTGTACGAGCCTCTCAGGTCACCCTCCACCCCACATAGACCTCTGGTTATAGGGTGGTATATAAATAATACTACTACTACTGCTGCTAATAATAATAATAATATATATTGCCCTAATGACCTAGAGAGAGAAGCAGAGCTATAAATCTGCATCTGCTTTAAAGTAAGATTTCCACTAGTGGCTGATTTATTAATTGGCTTAAGTCATGGCCAAATGATCTCAGGTGATCAATTCTGTGGAATACTTAACTTGGGGTGCTTTGAGATTTTGAACGTTCTTCAATCAAATATGTGAACACAGATCTGCTCTAGATGGTGTGGTTTTTGTGTGTGTGTATGTGTGAATACCAACATTCACCAGTGCACCCGAGTTGTCTCAATTAATTTAATTAGCAGAATTTGCCTGGAATGGGACAGCAATCCCCACGTGCTGAATTTCATTGTTCACTGTTCAAAGCAGAGGACTTATTAACTGTTTTGTTATTTGTCATTATGTTTTTATTATGCTTTTATTATTGACGTTCTGTAATGTGTTTTTAATGCCGCCCCCCATCTTGCCCTGGGATCTTTTGATAAAAGGGTGGTATGTAAGTTGAATAAATAAAATTAAAATAAAAGGCAGGTTGGGGTTCTCTTTAAATTTGCCTTCAGCTATCGGAACTGGAAATAAGCCAGGATTTTAACCATCCGATGCAGATTTCACTCTGCAGAGCGTTAGGCGTGGCGATGCTGTTATCTTTCACCATCCTGGATATACTGAGTTTCACTACAGTTCCCATCACTGGTGTCCATTTGACATTTTGGCTGGATGCTCATGGGAGTTGTAGTCCAAAGCAGCTGGGGGACGACACCAGGTTGGCTAAAGCAGGCATAGGCAAATCAGCCCTCCAGATGTTTTGAGACTACAATTCCCATCATCCCTGACCACTGGTCTTGCTAGCTAGGGATGATAATAATACCCTTATTGTCAATGTACAACCTGTGTACAATGAAGTTAACTGAGCCTCAATTGCACTGTTATTTTCCGTTCATCAGCCTAACAGCCCACAGATAGAAGCTATTTTTTAGCTTTTTGGTACGGCTGATTATAGGACGCGGGTGGCGCAGTGGGTTAAACCACAGAAACTAGGGCTTGCCGATCAGAAGTTTGGCGGTTCGAATCCCCGCGACGGGGTGAGCTCCCGTTGCTCGGTCCCTGCTCCTGCCAGCCTAGCAGTTCAAAAGCACGTCAAAGTGCAAGTAGATAAATAGGTACCACTCTGGCAGGAAGGTAAATGGCGTTTCCGTGCGCTGCTCTGGTTCACCAGAAGCGGCTTAGTCCTGCTGGCCACGACCCGGAAGCTGTACGCCGGCTAACTCGGCCAATAAAGCGAGATGACCGCCGCAACCCCCGAGTCGGCCATGACTGGACCTAATGGTCAGGGGTCCCTTTACCTTTTTACAGCGTCTGTGTATCTGTGCAGATCTTGATGTTCAAACACGCTCCAATCAGTACTTTCAAAACAATCCTGGAGCTGACTGAAAGTTCCCTCTGGCCAGATTCTAACTGTTTTTATAACTGGCTGAATTCTTCTCCTAAGGGGGATATACTTCGGACATAAAAAAAGTGAAGAATGGTCAGATGATCCTAAGTGGAGGAGGGAAATTGCCCTGTATGCCTGCTTCAGACTGGAATACACACGATCCAAAATATTATTCCCTTTAGTAGGGAAATTCACATACTGTTCAAACTTAGGAAAAACTGTCTTTAGGCAGGCCTGATTGAAATTCCTTGCCACAAGGAGGGCATCCTCTGGGTGGATTTGCTGCTGCCTAGAGATGATGTCATAGGGACACGGGTGGCACAGTGGGTTGCACCACAGACACTAGGACTTGCCAATCAGAAGGTCGGTGGTTCTAATCCCCGCAATGACGGGGTGAGCTCCCGTTGCTTGTTCCCAGCTCCTGCCAACCTAGCAGTTCGAAAGCACGCCAGTGCAAGTAGATAAATAGGTACTGCTCCGGCGGGAAGGTAAACGGCGTTTCCGTGCGCTGCTCTGGTTCGCCAGAAGCGGCTTAGTCATACTGGCCACATGACCCGGAAGCTGTACGCTGGCTCCCTCGGCCAATAAAGAGAGATGAGCGCCGCAACCCCAAAGTCGTAGGCGACTGGACTTAACGGTCAGGGGTCCCTTTACCTTTAGAGATGACGTAATATAGCTTAGAAAGTGCCACTCTTAATTAATGAATGTTAGAAATTAAGGAATGTTAGAAAAATGTTGGAATGAAGTTATATGGCTTTAGTAGAAATGTTATAAGGAATTAAGTATAAATAGATTAATAGAGAATTAAAGGGAAAAAATAAGGTTAAAATGTGTTAAGATAATTATAGGATAGAAAACAGAGGAAGATGGAAAGGAATTGCTGAAACAACTAACAGAAGTGGAATACAAAAAGGGAGGTGTGAGGTCATTGAAATAAGTGAATGAAAGATAAGATATTGAAACTGGTTGATGTATTTTAAATTGTTTTTGTTTTGTTAGTTTAATGTGTTAGTGTTATGTATTGTTTTTGTATTGTATAGTTTATTCTTTTTTTGTAGTGTTTAAATTGTTGGAAAAGTAATAAATATTATTTAAAAATAATATTTAATATTTTCTGATTAGTCTTCTGTCACATAGTATGCGTTGACGACAAGGTATGACGGAAAAGCAAATAATAAATAAATAAATAAGGAAGGAGAGCCTGTTTCACCTTCTGAGGGAGTCCGTTTCACGGTCAGAACAGATCTTACTGCCATCTTCCTGAGGTTTAGTCGGAATCTCCTGTAACTCGAAGCCATGGGTTCGAGTCCTGCCCTCTGGAGCAGGAGAAAACCAGTTCGCTCCATCTTCCATGGGATAACACCTCGAGATATTTGAAGTTGCCTACGATAGCACCCCCCAGCCTTACTTTAACCAAACTAAACACCCCCAACTCCTTCGACTGTTCCTCATAAGGTCTGGCCTCTTACCATTTCGGCTGCTTTCCTCCACACACCTTCCAGCTTCTTATTTATTTTTGGAGGGAAAGCTTTCAGCCTTAGGCCTACCCCTAGATTAGGGCAGCCTTTGCCAGGCTGCTTCCCTTGTCCCCCTGATGTTGTGGGTCAGAGTTCCTGTCAGAGCCAGCATCAGACAGCTGGGGCTGCCAAGAGTCGTGTTATGAAAAACACCCCCTTGCTGGAGGCTGGATTAGCCATGTTATTCCCCCCGCCCTGAGTTTTCCACCATTCTGGCAGATGGGAATTGTGGTCCATAGAAGCAGTATGGCACAGTGGTTAGCGCCAGGCTTGAACGTGGGAGACCCAGGTTGAAATCCCCCCCCCTCGGCTATGAAACTCGCTGGGTGACCACCACCTTGAGCTCTTTGAAATAAAAGTGGGATATAATTGTGATTAATTAACCGTGTGTGTATGTGTGTGTTACTGGGTTATTGTTCTTACTTTGATTTTATATACAGTCATACCTCGTGTCACAGCCGCTTTAGGTTGCATTTTTTTGGGTTGTGGACCGCCGAAACCCGGAAGTACTGGAAGGAGTTACTTCCGGGTTTTGGCGGCCGCGCATGCGCAGAAGTGCAAAATCGCGCTTTGCACATGCTCAGAAGCGCTGAATCGCAACCCGCGCATGCGCAGGTTGTGAACGTGCATCCCGCACGGATCATGTTCGCAACCTGAGCGTCCACTGTATTGCATCCATCTTTTCTGTGAACCGCACTGAGACCTCTGGGTATAGGACGGTGCATGAATTCAGGAAAGAATGATCATAATAATATTAAAAAGTCTAAAACATCTGGAGGGTCCCAGATGTTGAAGCATCATGCAAATGGGAAGGCAAAAGGCACCCCAAGGACGGCAATGTTCTATGGCTCTCTCCACCTCCCAAAGTAAACTCCTTGTCCCAAATCAGAAACGATCGGTTCGGGGGAATTATTCTCAAAAGTGACCTCTGGCACCAATTCTTTTTTTTAAAGGGTCCGCTGAGAGTCTTTCCCCAGTAACTAAAATACACAAGACAAACTGTTCGGCTGGTTGTTTGCTTTTTCTTTCCAAAAAGTGTTTATAGATACATAGGCAAATCAGTCCGTTAAATGAGTTGCAGAAAATGCTTGAAGAACAGCAACTAACCCACAATCCTACTCATACAAAACACGTTCCGCACTTGTCCACACAAACACACATTCCATCACACGCACACTTAGTGTGTCCTTCCCAGCTAACACCCTTCTCTGCCCTTGCTTACGGCTGCCCTGGTATTAAATCCGAGAGCCAGTTGCCCATCGAATGCCCTGTCCGGCCAGCACCCTCTTCCACTGCTGAGCGCCACTCGCTGGTGGGCTCTGTGTTTCTTGCAGTGTATCGACAATGAGCAGCCCTTTCCCCGCAGCCCATGTTTCGGTATTTGTAGAAGGGACACCGCAGACATTTCTTCCGTGAGGGTAGCCGTACGCCCTTGCCACTTCCCCGCACTCAAAACACCGCCGCATGCATTCATTCGCCAATGGCCAAGCTGTCGCACACAATCATTCGCGATTCCTTTTCGGGTCCACGTACAAAGCCCAAGCACAGTGTGCAACGAAACCTTACACAGTCATACCTTGAAGTTGCTTCAGGTTGAGCATTTTCGGGTTGCGCTCTGCAGCGACCTGGAAATAACGGAACGCGTTACTTCCGGGTTTCGCCACTCGCGCATGTGCTCAAAATGACGTCACACGCATGTGTGGAAGCAGTGAATCGCGACCCGCACAGATGCATGTTGCGTTCGCTTCTGGATGTGAACGGGACTCTGGAACAGATCCCGTTCGCATCCAGAGGTACCACTGTATATATTCCCACACGTTGTCATCAGGCACACACACAAGCACTCTTGTTCTCTCTGCCCTCCGTTTGCCCACCTGGAGGAAATTCCGGAGCTCTGTACACAAACAACGTCTATTTGATTTCGATTTAGGAAACGCCCGCTCGCCCCTAGCTGCTGGGCACAAACATCCTTCTGTGCTTGGACGTGGAGCCGCGAGGACGGCCTCGGCCCCGGCGGGAGACGCCGTGGGGGCTCCGCCTCGCCCTGGCTGCCTCTCCCCGGCCGACGCTCCCCGGGTGCGGTCCGGAAAGGCCCCCTTCGGCTTTAAGAGGAAAGAAGAGAGGGGTGCAGTCGGGGGCCGTCTCTGGAGGGGCTGCCTCGGGTTTCGGAGGAGAGGCGGCTTGGGCGACCGTTTGTGACGCCCTCTCCTGCCGGGCCGCGGCCCTGTCTTGCCGCGCCACGGCCCTTTCTTGCCGCAAGTACCGCAGTTCGTCCCGGATGTCGGTGAGGACCCCAAGAAGCCGGAACTGGAGTTCCCTGTCACGGGCCCGCTCGTCTCGCTGCTGGGCCCTCTCCTCTTGCCACATGGCGAGCTCCTGGTGGTACAGCTGGTCCCACTGGTCTTCCATGTCCATCAGCCGCCGGATGTTAGTCCGCCAGGTTTCCCGGCCACCCTCGCGCCGGCGGGAGCACCCCATCCCTCTGGGCAAGGCCCGTGGGGCGGGAGCCTGGTCTGCGTGAGGCGAAGCAGAGGATGGCAGGGACTCTTCGGTGAGGGCCCCGGTGTGCAGAGGAGACCGGGATTGCTGCTCCTCCTCCTGCTTCTCCCACGCAGGCCCCAGAAGCCCCCGGGGCAAGGAGCCCGTCTCCGCGGCCTGGCTGGATGCCTCCTCTTCCTCCGGCTGAGAGGCGTCGAGGGAGCGGCCCAGGGCGGGGACGTCAGGGCCCCCCTCGTGGTCCCAGTCTGAGTGGGCGTCTGCGTGGCTGAGGGCGTCCTCTGGCAGGGAGGCGGCCGACCCCTGAGAGTTGCACCTGCGGATAAGCATCGCAGCCTGCCGGCCGGACAACTTCAGGTCTTCTTCAGCCGACAGCCGAGCTTCCAGCGCCGCTTGGAGACTCATCCTGCCCTCCGCCTCCGGGCCGTCATGATCCTCCTCCTCGGAAGCGTAGGAGACGAGGGATTCGTTTCGGAGCTGGGGGGACATGGCGGACATTTCCGGGGTCCGTAGCTCTGGTCCCGATTCGGCTGCAACGGGCGAGAGAACGACATCAAGGCAGGGAATACAAGCCTCAGACAGACACAGACTCTGACAAGTCACTCAAGCACTTTCACGCAGCTGCTGAAAAACTTTCAGTATCTAGGCTTCTAAGAATTATTGGGCAATGCCACATACAGGCCGCCAGCTTGATACCGTATTTTTTGCTCTATAAGACGCACTTTTTCCCTCCTAAAAAGTAAGGGGAAATGTGTGTGCGTCTTATGGAGCAGATGCAGGCTGCTCAGCTACCCCAGAAGCCAGAACAGCAGAGGGATCGCTGCGCTCCCTCTTGCTGTTCTAGCTTCTGGCTTAGCCGCGCTCTGTCCTTTCCCCCACGTCCCGGAAAAGCCCCCAAGAGCCGCACTCCCTTTAAAGAGCCGCATGGAGTGTGTGTGCGGCTCTTGGGGGCTTTTCCCTGAGGAGGAAGAAGGGCAACCCATCAGTGACAGGCTGCCCTTCTCCCTCCTCGGGGAAAAGCCCGCAAGCATTGCACACACGCTCCATGCGGCTCGTGAAAGGGAGTGCTGAGCAGAGCCTGGGATGCACACAGGCTTTGCTCAGCGCTCCCTTTAAAGAATATTTTTTCCTTGCATTCCCCCTCTAAAAACTACGTGCGTCTTATGAAGCAAAAAAAATATGGTATATATTTTGGGATGTTTGTCAACTCACTATGTACTAATATATCGTAACCAATTTTTGCACGGTGGTCCCAGGGATGAAGGAACAGGTTTCCCTCTATGTTTGGGTACTACCGGATGCCACTATGAACCAAGATGGTGGAAGGAACCTTTCAAAAGGGCATCGATTTTTAACTGCTGGATCTCAAAACGGCATTGATCATAACTGCCGAAATCAAAAGCAATGCCGGGAATGAGACTGAAAGTTCATTCATAAACCGCTTAATTTCCCAAGTGGTGTGCAAGTATCAAACATAGTGGAAAATACGCAACATGGATTTATTCTTAGCCTCTAGTCTGAACCGCCCACCACCTCCTCAGTTTCCCCCATCAAATCCAAGAGGTGGGCAGTTAAAAGACAGGCACTCATCCTGCTCAAAAGAACGAGATCAGACCGGCTGCAGATTTCCACACCCCAGGATTTTCCAGTGGGGAAGCTTTGAAGCTCAGGGGCAGAGAACAAGCTCTGCAGCCAGTGACCCCACGACAGGGCCTTCTCTGTGGTGGCTCCCTGTTTGCAGAAAGCCCTCTGACTCTTAGAAGACATCTGAAGGCAGCCCTGTATGGGGAAGCTTTTAATATGTGGTGTTTTTCTGTGAGTTTATAGTTTGTTGGAAGCCGCCCAGAGCGGCTGGAGCAGTTGGATGGCATATAAATATTGTAATAAATGTTATAATTGTTGTTATTGCTATGTCCAGGCCGTTTGCAATGGCACCAGCGATACCCACCTGAGCTGCTCTGCCCTTCGCCTCGACTGTATTCGCAAAGCATAGAGGAGGGGTCAGGGCTCTGGACCCCCACGCGAGGCACCAGGGAGCCTTCCACGTCAGGGAGGGAGGAAGGTTGCCCGTTGGTGTCAATGTAGATACTGGGGTGGTTGAGGCCCGGTTGCAAAGCTACAAAGGACTGCTTGAACGCTCCAGGGAAGAAAATCTCTGCAGGGCAAGAAAACAAGTAAAGCATTGCATTATCCCTTCAAGTCAACGTCAGGCAGCGGTCAACAGAGGGAGGAGTCTCGTAGAAAAGGTATAAAGTAGGCTGGATAAAAATCAATGTTGGGTTTTTTTTAAAAAAGAATGTTTTAAAATGAATTTTTAAAAATTTAAATCAGATTTTTAAAATTTAAATTGGATTTTTAAAATAAAATGCTTTTGGAGGAAAACTCTTTCTAAAGATAGTTTTCTATTTAAGTTACATTCTAGTCCAAAGGTTATTCATCAGGAAATAAGGATTTGTTTTAAGTTTTTCATGTGTGTTAAAACTCAGTCTGTTTTTTTTTTTTTTTAACTGTTTAACCACATCAGTTAACAAACATGGATACATGGACACAGGGCGGCTAACATCAGGAATAAAAACAATTGATTAAAATACAACTTAAAAACAAGATTAAAATACAACATTAAAATGCAGCCTCGTTTCAATGGAAGCCCAGATCAAAATCTGTTTGGGGGGAGGAAACGTCACATCTTCACCAAGGCCAACTATCCAGACTGGTCCTAGGTGGGCCAGAAAAAAGCCAGGGAAGTCCCCAAATAGGGGTTCCATCACAGAAGGAAAATGAAAAAGGGGGAGGGGATCAAGTTGATTCCAAGCCAAAGGCCAGGCGGAACAACTCTGTCTTACAGGCCCTGCGGAAAGAAATCAGATTCCGCAGGGCCCTGGTCTCATGAGGCAGAGTGTTCCACCAGGCTGGAGCCAGTGTTGAAAAGGCCCTGGCTCTGGTTGAGGCTAATCTGACTTCCTTAGGGCCTGGGACCACTAGGGTGTTGCTATTTATGGACCTTAAGGTCCTCCGTGGGGCATACCAGGAGAGGCGGTCCCGTAGGTACGAGGGTCCTAGGCCGTGAAGGGCTTTAAAGGTCAAAACCAGAACCTTAAACCTGACCCTGTACTCCACCGGGAGCCAGTGCAGCTGGAAAAGCACTGGGTGAATGTGGTCCCATGGAGAGGACCTCGTAAGGAGCCTTGCCGCGGCATTCTTCACCCAATGGAGTATTGCGGTCCCGAGCCATTTAAGGCTTTATAGGTCAAAACCAGCACTTTGAATTGGGCCCGGAAACTAATCGGCAGCCAGTGCAGTTGAACCAGGATGGGTGCAAGATGCTCAGACAGTCTTGCTTATATATACTTTATTTTTCGCTCTATAAGACGCACTTTCCCCCTCCTAAAAAGTACAGTGGTACCTCGGGTTTCATACGCTTCAGGTTACAGACTCCGCTAACCCAGAAACAGTGCTTCAGGTTAAGAACTTTGCTTCAGGAGAAGAACAGAAATCGGACTCCCGCGGCGCGGCAGCAGCAGAAGGCCCCATTAGCTAAAGTGGTGCTTCAGGTTAAGAACAGTTTCAGGTTAAGTACGGACCTCCGGAACGAATTAAGTACTTAACCTGAGGTACCACTGTAAGGGGAAATGTGTGTGTGCGTCTTATGGAGCGAATGCAGGCTGCGCAGCTATCGCTGAAGCCAGGAGAGCAAGAGGGATCGCACCGATCCCTCTTGCTCTCCTGGCTTCAGCGAAAGCAACGCGAAGCCTCCTAGGCGCAGCGGGAGCACTCCTGCGTCTTCGCGCAAGAGACTTTGCGTTGCTTTCTTGTTTCTTGTTTTCCTCCTCTAAAAACTAGGTGCGTTGAGGCGTTCCCATAGTAAAGGAAGGATTGAACTCTGATTAATAAGAATACACACAGAGGCTTGAACCAGCAAGACTCTGGGAAGGGTGCGTATAATAATCTCTGTCCCCCTCCGGCCCAGGTCGTTTTATTCACAAAAGAGCTTTTTACAGAGTGTTCCTAAGAACCAATCAGATTTCTTCTGAGCATTTCAACAAACCCCACGTGGGGACAAAATTAAACTACAAACACTAGTTAAGCATGCATACTTTTGGAGTAAATAAATAAAACCACAAAGGAGCGAATACAGCAACCCCGGAGGTCATAAACAATCAATACACATGATAAGAAGGATGGCCAGTAAGACAGCGATCATTATCACCTTTATATGAAACCTGTTTCCTGGCCCTAACATTAACATCCTAAGATTAACATATCAGAAACTGCCCACTGTCTTTGATGACCCAGGACGCCTGGCCGGTCTAAGTGTGTACGTGACTTGTCAAGAAAGAGAAATGGAACAGGGATGCAGAGATGTGGATTGATCAAGAATCATATCAAAATAGTTTAAACCCAGTCAACGCAATGCTTTCATTGCTGACACAGATGGCTTACTCTATATTTGTTATAATTCCTCATAGCAATCCCACCTGATCACTACATCGCGTCTTATAGAGCGAAAAATACGGTGATAATAAACGAAAACTCACCCGGGTCCAAGACGATTTCTGGCTCCGAGTCATGCGTGGGCTGCAGGAAAGTGGAGGCCACCATTTTCTCCAGGGGCGTGAGGCGGGGTTTGTGGGGTGCCCCTGGCCGGTGCACCGGGGGCGGCCTCTTGGCCGTGATCTTCTTCTTGACGTCCAGCCTCAAGTCCCGCCATTTGTGTTTGAGATCGTCGATGGAGCGCTCTGTGTACCCGAGAAAGTTGACGCGGCTTTGGATCTGCGTCCAGAGCTGCTTCCGGCGGACGGGGTGAGCCCGGAACGATTCCGACCCATACAGAGCGCTAAAATGGCGCACTACATTCCAGACCAGGGTCTCCGTCTCGTCGTTGGAGAAGTTGGCTTTCCTCTTCCGGCCTGTCGCGCTGGCCTGGGCTGCGGCGGCGGCGGAAGTGGAAGGGGGAGAGTCAAAGCGAGGTCCCCATTTGTCCCTCTCGGCCGCGGAGGAAAACATTGGAGTCCGCGAGCCAGCGAGAGCGGGAGGAAGCAGGGGCCAGAGCGGCTGGGGGCTCCGCGGGGGCAAGGCTACGGGCCGAGGCTTCTCCCACCCCACGAGCAAAAGCCGGGGGGATTCTGCGGGTGGCGTCAACCGAATGAGGACTGGAGACTCGCTCCGGAGTCATGCAGTCTCATCCCAAGGGCACCTGGAAGGGAAGGAAGAATGTGAGATGGAATAAGGGCAGAATGCTGTAGCATAATAATAATGATAATAATTTATTATTTATACCCTGCCCATCTGGCTGGGTTTCCCCAGCCACTCTGGGCGGCTTCCAACAGAACACTAAAATACAATAACCTATTAAACATTAAAAGCTTCCCTAAACAGGGCTGCCTTCAGATGTCTTCTAAAAGTCTGGTAGTTGTTCTTTGACATCTGGTGGGAGGGCGTTCCACGGGGCAGGCGCCACCACTGAGAAGGCCCTCTGCCTGGTTCCTGTAACCTGGCTTCTCGCAGGGAGGGTTGCCAGAAGGCCCTCAGCGTTGGACCTCAGCGTCTGGGCAGAACGATGGAGGTGGAGACGCTCCTTCAGGTATACAGGACAGAGGCCGTTTAGAGCTTTAAAGGTCAGCACCAACACTTTGAATTGTCCTCGGAAACGTACTGGGAGCCAGTGTAGGTCTTTCAGGACCAGTGTTATGTGTTCTCGGTGGCCGCTCTCAGTCACCAGTCTAGCTGCCGCATTCTGGATTAGTTGTAGTTTCCGGGTCACCTTCAAAGGTAGCCCCACGTAGAGCGCATTGGACAGCTGTGAGTGCGCACCTGGTCCTTCAGGGTGCTGACTGGAGTAGTTTGCTCAGAGATATGCAATGGTGGCTCATCTGCTAACAGGCTAAGTTCAAGATATTACTACAGTGGTACCTCGGTTTTCAAACAGCTTAGTTCTCGAACTACTTGGAACCCAAACGCTGTAAACCCGGAAGTGAGTGTTCCAGTTTTCGAACTTCGTTTGGGAAGGCCGAATGTGCTCCATTTAGAGTCTGAGCTTCCGTTTTTAGTGTTGTGCTGCTAATTCTTCCGTTTCTGATTGCGGTGTTCTGAGGTGATATTTGGAGCTTATGTTTGGTGCTTTTGCTATTTTTTTGTGGGTTTTTTAGTGTGGCTTTTCCCTTTTTGTGGCTGCGACTTGCGACTTTGTTTTCGGTGACTGCGTGGAACTAAAAGCAGCGAAGGCAAAAGAACCATTAACGTTGTTTATTGCTTTCGTTTTATGGATCAGTGGTCTTGTTAAGTACTAAAATTCATGTTAAATTTTTGTTTTAGGGGTTGCTTTTAATTGTCTGGAGCAGATTAATCTGTTTTGCATTACTTTCTATGGGAAAGCGCGCCTTGGTTTTGGAACGCTTTGGTTTTGGAACCGACCTCCGGAACAGATTAAGTTTGAGAACCAAGGTACCACTGTATTAGGGTATAAAGCCCTGAACTCAGGACCTGTTTACCTGCGAGACCGCCTTACCCTATACCTGCCCATTTGATCTCCAGCATCACCATGCCAACAAAAGTCTGTATAGTAAAAGCTATGGTTTTCCCAGTAGTGATGTATGGAAGTGAGAGCTGGACCATAAAGAAGGCTGATCGCCGAAGAATGGATGCTTTTGAATTCTGGTGCTGGAGGAGACTCTTGAGAGTCCCATGGACTGCAAGAAGATCAAACCATTCTGAAGGAAATCAGCCCTGAGTGCTCACTGGGAGGACAGATCATGAAGCTGAGGCTCCAAGACTTTGGCCACCTCAGGAGAAGAGAAGACTCCCTGGAAAAGACCCTGATGTTGGGAAAGATGGAGGGCACAAGGAGAAGGGGACGACAGAGGACGAGATGGTTGGACAGTGTTCTCGAAGCTACCAACATGAGTTTGACCAAACTGCGGGAGGCAGTGGAAGACAGGAGTGCCTGGCGTGCTCTGGTCCATGGGTCACAAAGAGTCGGACACAACTAAACAACAACAATCAGGACCTGAACCCAAAGCCTTGTGGCTTCCAGCAGGTGGTATTCCGAAGCATTTTTGCCTCTGACTGTGGAGCCAGAGCATAGATGTCCTGAGTAGTAGCCCTAATAGCCCTCTCTTCCTCCATGAATTTGCCCAGTCCTCTTTTAACGCCATCCAATTTGCCAGCCATCACAGCTTCTTGTAGCAAGGAGTTCCAGAGTTTAACTAAGCTCTGTGCGAAGTAGGACTTTCTTCTCTCAGTCTTGAATCTTCCAACATTTGGATGTCCAGAAGTTCTAGCATTATGAGAGAGAGAAACAGATGCATGCAACACACTTAGGAAGCACAGGTGCAAGCAGTTTTCAGTTTGCCTGCCCCGGGAAAACCCTCTCTTTTACCACTGAATCGGGACAGGTGTCAATCTGCAGAAAACCCAACTGACGTTTGTTCCGATTCAGCAGTAAAGAGTGAGTTTTCCCAGAGGGAAACAGCAGGAAGGGACGATTTCCTCATGCACCACTGATATCTGGCACTCATTGCCACAGCGACTGCAACGTATACAAAATCAGTGGTAGGAGAAAAGCTCTTTCTCTTTTAAACTATTGGACTTTGGAAATGACAGAGAGTTCTGAGGAACTCGGAGCCCTAAGCCGTTTTTCTTACATTTTAGGCATTTCCACAAAAGCTTTTAAAACGACCGCTCTATTCCTCTGCATGTATGAACGCCATTAATGGCCTCCAGTCTGCAGCTGTACTGGAATGTTTTAAAAAGGACGTTTTTATTGTTCTTTGTTGTTTGCCACCCTGAGTTCCTTCAGGAGGAAAGGTGGGGTAGAAATTCAAGAAATAATAAATAGCCAGAGCCAGAGTAGAAGCAAGTGAGGGCAAATTTCATATCATGGACTACTGCAATGCGCTCTAGGTGGGGCTGCCTTTGAATGTGACCCGGAAACTGCAATTAATCCAGAATGCGGCAGCTAGACTGGTGACTGGGAGCGGCCGCCGGGACCACATAACACCGATTCTGAGAGATCTGCATTGGCTCCCAGTACGTTTCCAAGCACAATTCAAAGTGTTGGTGCTGACCTTTCAAGCCCTAAATGGCCTTGGCCCAGTATATCTGAAGGAGCGTCTCCACCCCCATCGGTCAGCCCGGACACTGAGATCCAGCGCCGAGGGCCTTCTGGCGGTTCCCTCCCTGCAAGAAGCAAAGTTACAGGGAACCGGGCAGAGGGCCTTCTCGGTAGTGGCGCCAACCCTGTGGAACGCACTCTCTTCAGATGTGAAGGAAATAAGCAGCTATCCTATCTTTAAAAGACATCTGAAGGCAGCCCTGTTAAGGGAAGTTTTTAATATTTAACGCTGTATTGTTTTTAACACTTGATTGGGAGCCGCCCCGAGTGGCTGGGGAGACTCAGCCAGATGGGCGGGGTATAAATAAAAAATTATGATTATGATTATGATTATTATTATTATATCAAGCACCTGTGGTAAGCCAATATACAGATCTTCCATTCAGATGTCAGATACAGGAAAAACACAGAGGAAGTCTGCAAAGATTACACACTGGCTGGAAAGTTAAGACCCAGACAGCCCAGCGGGACTTGCTTCGGAGCAAAAGTTACGACAACACCGGCTATTTGATGAGAATCCATTTAGATTTGTTTGTGGGGAGATTAAATGGCTGCTTCAAAGGCAAAGGGCCTTAGCGCAGGGGCCTTGCGTGCATCGTCTCCGGGCAGGACTGGGGAAATTTCCCTGCCTAAAACCCAGGAGAGCCACTGCCTGTCACAGAATCGCAGAGTTGGAAGGGGACCCCGGCGGTCATCTAGCCCAACCCGCTGCAATGCAAGAATCTTTTGCCCAACAAGGGGTTTGAACCCATGACTCTGTGAGTAAATTTTAGACTCCTGGGGTAGCTCAATCAGTAGAGCTGATCTCCCCCCCCCCCCATCTTTTGGGGGAACAGTTGCAAGACCTCCCAGCCACCTAATAACTGCACCACCAGAATGCGGAAGCTAGACTGGTGACTGGGAGCGGTCTTGAAAGATCTTCATTGGCTCCCAGTATGTTTCCAAGCACAATTCAAAGTGTTGGTGCTGACCTTGAAAGCCCTAAACAGCCTCGGTCCAGCAGACCTGAAGGAGCGTCCCCACCCCCATTGTTCTGCCCGGACACTGAGGTCCAGCGCTGAGGGCCTTCTGGCGGTTCCCTCCCTGCGAGAAGCCAAGTTACAGGGAACCAGGCTGGACCTCAGTGTCCGGGCCTTCTCGGTGGTGGCACCCGCCCTGTGGAACGCCCTCCCATCAGATGTCAAAGAGAAAAATAGCTTTTAATGTTTAATAGGTTATTGTATTTTAGTGTTTTGTTGGAAGCTGCCCAGAGTGGTTGGGGAAACCCAGCCAGATGGGCAGGGTATTTATTATTATTATTATTATTATTATTATTACCACCAGAATCTTCTGGCATGTGATTGAATCTCAGCTACAGCACCCCAGGCCTCCTCCTGCATCAACCCACAACCAGCAACTGGGTTTTGTGTTTACACTCCAAAAAAACCACTTGGGCCTCACTGCCTCCTCACACAAGGGAAAGGGAAGGCCCAAAACTCCCTGAATCCGGTTTAGGCCTCCCCTCTGCTTCCCAAAAGATTAACAAGGAAACAAACATCTCGCCGCTGGAGAGGCGTGTCCACTCCGGATCCAGATTTCATTTTGCTGTCTGCACACACGTGTCAATTCGGATTCACTCCCGGGCGCTCGAGGGCCAAAACGGTGCGCCACCGTTTCTTTCCCCGCGTGGCACTGGCCCCGGGATCCTATTGTGGGGCTGGCCAGGAAGGACCTCCAGGATCGGATCGCGCTGTCCTTAAGCGCAACCGGACAGAAGCCGTTTGCAGTAACTCAACAGGAAAAAAGCTCCTTTGTGCGGAGCTGCGCGCTAGCCTATCCCTTTCCGCAGAGAAGGGAACTCGACGGCAATAATGGCACATGCAGAAATTGAGAAGATCTCCATTGCAAGGCTCCCCTTCGTCGGCTACGCGGAGCCCGCTCAGCACGCATCTAATTCGGATTTAAAAGCACCCAAGCCGGAGAGGGAAGCGGGGCAAGGGGCGCAACCCGTCCGGTTTCCAGCGGCCTGGGGCATTTCAAAAGGTCCTTCAGCCTGCAGAGATGACCACCGAAGGACAATAGGCGCCGCCACAGCTTAGCTCAGCGCCTGCGGAAGGGCGCGCGCGCGCGCGCGGAAGAGGGGGATGGGTTGGAGTTGTTTACAACTCTTGCCTGCCCGATCCGGATCCCACCCCCAACTCTGCACCAGGGGCTGCATGCAAGACCCGCGATCCCGCCCACCATTGGGATTTGGGGGAAATCCAACAACGAAAAAAGGAGAGATCAAACCACGTCGCGCGTCTCCAAAAACTCCCGGCTCTCCCCGAAAAGGCCGCGGATCCGGTGCGGAAACTCACGCGGGAGCGAGCGAGCAGCCCGGCCCGGCCCAGGGGCCTTGCTTCCGCGGAGGCGCGCGCGGGGACCCCAGTCTCCAGCGCAGCGCGCGCGCGAACAAAACCGTGCGCTCTGCGCAACGCGGGTCCGGGCAGGGGCGGAGGTTGCGCAGGGGCGGAGGTTGCGCAGGAGCGGAGGGAGCGAAGGAAGAGGAGGTGGAGGAGCCGCCCTCGTGCTCGCCTCTCCCCCGGCCCCGGCAGCAACTCCCCGGCCCCCTGGGCGGCGTGGGAACCGCAGCCTTTCCAAGCGCCCCCTTTCCTTACCCGCGCGCAAAGCTGCTTGTCTCCGCGGGCGCGCCAGCTTCCCCTGCGCGTCTCCTCCTGCGCGCCCCCAACGCTGGGCGGAGGGATGCGCGCGTCTCCCTTCGCCCGCGCCGCCTTCTTTGGCTCTCGCCTTAATGGCTCCTCCCGACTCCGCGCGACGAGGAGGCGCAGGAACCAGGCGGCGGCGCTTCCTCCTGCGCCCAGGCGCGGCCGCCACTTGCCTCTGCCCTCTGCTGGCTCCGGAGGGGCCTGGAGGTTTCCGCCGATGCCTCGACCCGCACCCCCCCACCCCCTTGGCACCCGCACTCTGGGTGCCCGAGGAGGCTTCACACGATACGCGGGTGCGCGGATTATACACGTGAAGATTCGGAAGGGACACCGAGGGCCATCTAGTCCAACCCGCTGCAACGCAGGAATCTCAGCTAAAGCATCCATGACAGCCTGGATAGCTTAGAGCATGGCGCAGATAACGGCCAAGGTTTGCAGGTTCGATTCCCGTATGGGGCAGCCGCATATTCCTGCATTGCAGGGGGTTGGACTAGATGACCCTGGGGTTCCCTTCCAGCTCCACAATTCTACGATCTATGACAGGTGGCCATCCAACCTCTGCTTGAAAGCCTCCAAGGAAGGAGAGGTCGTCACTGTTCCTTCCTCAAACAGCTCTTGCTGTAGTTCTTCCTGATGTTGAGATGGGATCTCTTTTCTTGTCACTTGAAGCCATGGGTTCGAGTCTTGCCCTCCAGAGCAGGAGAAAACAAGCTTTCCCCGCTCTTCCATGTCACAGCACGGAGGCTGGATTTCCTTTCTTTTTATTGTGTGTACAGTGGTACCTCAGGTTACATACGCTTCAGGTAACAGACTCCGCTAACCCAGAAATAGTACCTTGGGTTAAGAACTTTGCTTCAGAATGAGAACAGAAATCGTGCTTCGGCGGCAGCGGGAGGCCCCATTAGCTAAAGTGGTGCTTCGGGTTAAGAACAGATTCAGGTTAAGAACGGACCTCCGGAACAAATTAGGTACTTAACCTGAGGTACCACTGTATTGTTTTTAATGTCATACACTGTCCTCCAATCTTTTGAAAAAGGGCAGTACAGTGGTACCTCGGGTTACATTCGCTTCAGGTTACATATGCTTCAGGTTACAGACTCCGCTAACCCAGAAATAGTGCTTCAGGTTAAGAGCTTTGCTTCAGGATGAGAACAGAAATTGTGCGCGGCAGCAGCAGGAGGCCCCATTAGCTAAAGTGGTGCTTCAGGTTAAGAACAGTTTCAGGTTAAGAACGGACCTCCGGAACAAATTAAGTTCTTAACCCGAGGTACCACTGTGTATAAATTGTATAAATAAAGAATATAAATAACAATGCTAGAAGTGTCTGAGTCCAGATGGGTGGACTGGAGTGTTTGGTCTCAGAGGACGGCATTGAAACAGAGAGGATAACAGAATCCTTGTGGAATGGCCAGTGTTACAACAATTCTAAGGTCTCAGATACAGAATAAATGTTCATAAATGGACAAGGCAAGCACGTACATAAGTATATAAACCATGTGTCTGAAATAGTACAGGAAGAGTATGAGACCAACCGAAACAAAAAGTCTATAAGGACTGGGGAATCTTTAAAGAATATTTAGAAAACTATGGAATAAAAGGAAACATCTTGGCAGAATTAGACCGATCCCTATATTGTATAAATGTAAGTTCATAGGGAGGTAAAAAGAAATTCTATAAGAAATATGTAACTGTATAAAGTAATGGATAGATAAAGTACAGTAAGATTAATTGTAAGTCAGTTTTAAATTTATAAGTTTTATAATTGTGTTCAGTATCAGGAGTATATATGATGATAATTATATCAATCTTGTATCTTATAGTGTGGTGGTTTGTTTGATTTTTCTGTTACCGTATTTGTTTGTTTGATTGTATGTTTGTTTACTTGTATGTACGTCTGTTTTCTCATAAATGTATTTATTTTAAATTAATAAAGATATATTAAAAAATAAGAAAAATAAGAAATCCTGAAGCCATTTAGACTCTCCCAAATTGACCTCAAATATTTCTCTACAAGGAGGAAGGAAATGGGAAAAGCTTTCCAATTGTCTTTGGACTGTAGGGGCTGCTTACACCTCCCTTTTCGAATACAGTCTGGCAAGTATCTGTTAAGCTGAGCAAACTATCAGTATAGATTCAGGAACTAAAGTATTTACCATCTCAAAGGAATGGCCAAGCTACCCCAGAAAATGCAATCAAGTAAGGCATTTATCAGGTATCCTGGCAAACAGGAGAGAAGCAACACACTCAAATTTCTGCTGGAGACTGCCTCCTCCTGCGATGTATGTATGATGTTTTGAGGTGGGGTGGTCTTGGGCTACAGGGTGGGCAATTTCAAAAGTCTAAATAGGGGCTTGCGCACTATTGTTTGGGGTCTCTCCTCTCTCCTTAATGTGGTGAGTGGGGACCCTATTGCAACAGTTTATTTGCTTTAATAAAGATCAGGCTTACTAGGCGTTTTGCTTTCAATATACTCTGGTTGACTTCTGCTTCCTCTAAATTCCCTGGCCCTGAATGGGGTAACTGTGCCCCTGAAGGACCAGGTGCGCAGCCTGGGAGTCATTTTGGACTCACAGCTGTCCATGGAGGCACAGGTCAAATCTGTGTCCAGGGCAGCTGTTTACCAGCTCCATCTGGTACGCAGGCTGAGACCCTATCTGCCTGCGGACTGCCTCGCCAGAGTGGTGCATGCTCTGGTTATCTCCCGCTTGGATTACTGCAATGCGCTCTACGTGGGGCTACCTTTGAAGGTGACCCGGAAACTACAACTAATCCAGAACGCGGCAGCTAGACTGGTGACTGGGAGCGCTCCTGAGAGACTCTATACGGGCTCTAGATACCCCATAACAGGATTAGAACTATTTTTCTTATAACACAAGGAAGGACATGTCATTTTCTTCAGTGAGAGGTCATTAAAATATGTTTTTGGGTGTGTGATAGGAATTTTGAGGTCTTAAAAGGGAAAGGGACCCCTGACCATTAGGTCCAGTCGCGGACAACTCTGGGGTTGCGGCGCTCATCTCCCTTTATTGGCCAAGGGAGCCGGTGTACAGCTTCCGGGTCATGTGGCCAGCATGACTAAGCCGCTTCTGGCGAACCAGAGCAGCGCACGGAAACGCCGTTTACCTTCCTGCCAGAGTGGTACCTATTTATCTACTTGCACTCTGACGTGCTTTCGAACTGCTAGGTTGGCAGGAGTTTGAGGTCTTAGATATATGTTAAATGTTCATAAGTGTACCAACCAAGCACGTACATAGATCAGCATGGGAAGACCGACCTGAAACCATTTTGATTCCCAAACTGAGCAAATGTTTTCTCTGCAAGGTCAAAGGAAAATGGAAAAGCCTCCCCATTGTCTTTTCCTTCACAAATCCTGTCTTAAGGGCACATTTAAGATATGAATAGGGTGTGAGGCTGGGATCTGGCCCAGGAACGAACTATTTATCATTACAAAAGACTGGCCAGGCTCCCCAGGCAATCCAATCAAGTGACCATTAAACAGGTAACCTGGCAGACAAGAGGTAAACAAAGCACTCAGATTTCGCCTGTAGACCGCCCTTTCTGTGATGTATGTATGATGTTTCTGGGAGTGGTCTGGATCTCCAGGGTGGCAATTTCAAAAGTCTTTATAAGGCCTTGCGCACCATTGTTCTGGGTTCCTCCTCCTCTCCTGTGTGTGAGGGGAGCACCCTGTTGCAACAGATCAATAAAGATCAGGCTTACTAGCTGCTTTGCTTCTCAATATTCTCTGGTTGGCCTCTGTTATTTTCTCCTACCAATAGGGAACCTACGTAAGGACTCTATATGGGCTCTTGGATACCCCATAAGGGAAAAAAGGGCAGATTTTGTTTAGAACACCATCCAGCCATCTTAGGGACTCTGGATTTGTGTAGGGCATGGGTAGGCAAACTAAGGCCCGGGGGCCAGATCCGGCCCAATCGCCTTCTCAATCTGGCCCGCGGACGGTCCGGGAATCAGTGTGTTTTTACATGAGTAGAATGTGTCCTTTTATTTAAAATGCATCTCTGAGTTATTTGTGGGGGCTGCCTGGTGTTTTCACATGAGTAGAATGTGTGCTTTTATTTAAAATGCACCTCTGGGTTATTTGTGGGGCATAGGAATTCGTTCATTATTATTTTTTCCAAAATATAGTCTGGACTACAAACCACATCGCTCCCAGCCAGCATGACCAATGGTCAGGGAGGGTGGGAGCTGCAGTGCAGCAACATCCAGAGGACCAGATGACCCCAGAACCTGATTTATTTATTATCAAAATAATAACAAACCTAGACAGCATCTTAAAAAGTAGAGACATCACCTTGCCAACAAAGCTCCGTATAGTTAAAGCTATGGTTTTCCCAGTAGTGATGTATGGAAGTGAGAGCTGGACCATAAAGAAGGCTGACTGCCGAAGAATTGATGTTTTTGAATTATGGTGCTGGAGGAGACTCTTGAGAGTCCCATGGACTGCAAGAAGATCAAACCTATCCATTCTGAAGGAAATCAGCCCTGAGTGCTCACTGGAAGGACAGATCCTGAAGCTGAGGCTCCAAGACTTTGGCCACCTCATGAGAAGAGAAGACTCCCTGGAAAAGACCCTGATGTTGGGAAAGATGGAGGGCAGAAGGAGAAGGGGACGACAGAGGACGAGATGGTGGGACAGTGTTCTCGAAGCTACCAAACTGCGGGAGGAAGTGCAAGACAGGAGTGCCTGGCATGCTCTGGTCCATGGGGTCACGAAGAGCCGGACACAACTAAATGACTAAACAACAACAAAACTTCAATGTTGTCGCTTTCTAGAATGACCTCCAGGTGTCGCCGTAAGCCCACCTCTTAAACGGAGCTTCTGTCAGGTTGCCAGCTGATTTTTCCAAGCTGCACAGCTGTGCTTTTAACAGCTGCACGAGAGGGAATCCATCTTTTCCCATCCTAATGTTTCACCTGCCCAAATTCCTCGTAAGTGCTAGGCTTAAAGAACGAGAGTCTGCATCATCTTTGAACTGGAGAATCAATACCAAAGCAAAAACTATCTGGGTTATATAGACGAGCCGGGGGCTTGTATGTTAGTGGAAGCAGGTTGAGTTGGCTGTTTTTTTCTCCCTCCCACCTCCCCAGAAATTGTACTGAGACCTCATGCCTGGCAAGAGTCAAGCCATGGATTAGAGCAAAGCAGAAAATCACTCTGCGCTTTCTCAAAGGCACAGGGCTATCACAGCCAAGGTTTGTACCCACCGCACCCCCTAAACAAAATGTTGTACTTTACTGCTCTGTATTTCACAAAATCTAGGTCAAACACACATTGGAAATGCAGGGAGGTAGAAGGCACAATGGTCCACATGTGGTGGAACTGCAAAAAAAACCACAGAGAATTTTGGGAGACAATATACAACGAACTTCAAAAAATGTTTAAATGTTCCTTCCCCAAGAAGCCTGAAGCCTTCGTGCTAGGAATAATGAACAATGAAATCCCAAAGAAATTTAGGAGAATTTTCATGTATGTAGCAGCAGCAGCCAGAATCTTAATTGCAAAGGGTTGGAAAGGAGATTCCATCTCATCAAAATTAGACTGGCAGGTGAAGGGAAGCAGTGGGGAGGAGAGGAGGGTTAGGTTGAATTTGGGAAATACAGTGGTACCTCAGGTTAAGTACTTAGTTCGTTCCGGAGGTCTGTTCTTAACCTGAAACTGTTCTTAACCTGAAGCACCACTTTAGCTAATGGGGCCTCCTGCTGCTGCCGTGCCGCTGGAGCACGATTTCTGTTCTCATCCTGAAGCAAAGTTCTTAACCTGAAGCACTATTTCTGGGTTAGCAGAGTCTGTAACCTGAAGCGTATGTAACCTGAAGCGTCTGTAACCTGAGGTACCACTATAAAATAATATATGGGACAGCAAAGGATATAATAGATTCTTAGAATAGTAATATATTGTAACCGGAATAGAAGTTTAAAAGGGGAAGTGAATGTATTTTTAGTATTTTCATTATTGTAATCGTTATTATTATTTCTTATTGGTAGAAGGCAATGTTAATTTAGGCTTCTTCATTTTGCTGTCTGTATAATTTTCTTAAGACAATAAACAAAACAAAAAACAAAATTAGACTGGCAGAACAAAATGCGAGAATATGTAGAACTAGCTAGATTATCAGCAAAATTCCAAAATGTCACTGACCAAAAATTTGATAGAGAATGGGATGTATTGTTGTAATGATAAATACTTAGTTCCTGGGCCAGGTCACAGGCTCACACCCTATTCAAACACAGACATTCCCTTAAGACAGGATTTGTGAAGGAAAAGACAATGGGGAGGCTTTTCCATTTTCCTTTGACCTTGCAGAGAAAACATTTGGTCAGTTTGGGAATCAAAAATGGTTCCAGGTCGGTCTTCCTGTGCTGATCTCTGTATGTGCTTGGTTGGTACACTTATGAACATTTAACATATATCTAAGACCTCAAAATTCCTATCACAATATACAGAGTCTATCCGAGGGAACATTGTAAAAATGTAAATCCTTTGGCACGCCTAGATTGACTTTCTGCATGAAATAAAGAGCACCTTACAAAATTAATGTAACGGAAACAACTTAGAGGAGATAAAGCTTAGTGTGTAGTTAAAGAATCTAACTTGGGAATCACAATGGGGTGACCGGCGGTCATGATCACAAAATGTCACATACAGTAAGTATTAAGTTTGGAATGAATGTTTTATTCCCCACACCACTCCCATTGATTGTTTTGTGTTGTGCTGTTTTTAAAATCAATAAAGCATGATGAAAAAGAAAAAGAAAAGAAACCACTTTAAACAGTCACGGCTTCCCCCAAATAATTCTGGGAGCTGTAGTTTGTTGAGAGTGCTGCAATGGAGACCCCTATTCTCAGAGTGGATTAATACTTAATTGTTTTTCGCTGGGAACTCTCGGAATTGTAGTTCTGGTAGGGGGGTAGGAACTCCTGACAAACTGCAGCTCCCAGAATCCTTTGGGGGAAAGCCATGATGGTTTAAAGTGGGGTGGCAGAGCTTTAAATGTATGGTGTGGAAACAGCCGACTTCCCTGCGATAAGAATTTTAAGCTCTTAGATATATAATAAACGTACCAACCAAGCATGTACATAGATCAGCACAGGAAGACCGACCTGAAACCATTTTTGGCTCCCAAAGTGACCAAATGTTTTCTCTGCAAGGTCAAAGGAAAATGGAAAAGCCTCCCCATTGTCTTTTTCTTCACGAATCCTGTCTTAAGAGCATGTCTGTGTTTGAATAGGATGAGCCTGTGACCTGACTCAGGAACTAAGTATTTATCGTTACTGAGTGCTCACTGGAAGGACAGATCCTGAAGCTGAGGCTCCAAGACTTTGGCCACCTCAGGAGAAGAGAAGGCTTCCTGGAAAAGACCCTGATGTTGGGAAAGATGGAGGGCAGAAGGAGAAGGGGACGACAGAGGACGAGATGGGTGGACAGTGTTCTCGAAGCTACCAGCATGAGTTTGAGCAAACTGTGGGAGGCAGTGGAAGACAGGAGTACCTGGCGTGCTCTGGTCCAGGGGGTCACGAAGAGTCGGATACGACTAAACGACTAAACAACAACAAACAACAAAGTATTTATCATTACAAAAGACTGGCCAGGCTCCCCAGGCAATCCAATCAAGTGACCATTAAACAGGTAACCTGGCAGACAGGAGATAAACAACGCACTCAGATTTCTGTTGTAGACTGCCCTTTCTGTGATGTATGTATGATGTTTCTGGGGGTGGTCTGGATCTCCAGGGTGGCAATTTCAAAAGTCTTTATAAGGCCTTGTGCGCCATTGTTCTGGGTTCCTCCTCCTTTCCTGCGTGTGAGGGGAGCACCCTGTTGCAACAGATCAATAAAGATCAGGCTTACTAGCTGCTTTGCTTCTCAATATTCTCTGGTTGGCCTCTGTTATTTTCTCCTACCAATAGGGAACCTACGTAAGGACTCTATATGGGCTCTTGGATACCCCATAAGGGAAAAAGGGCAGATTTTTGGTTAGAACACTGCTCTTGCTTTTCCCTGCTCATTTCCTCGTCACGTTCCTTATTGCAAAAAGTTACCGTATATATTTTGCAGAAGCAGCTCTGTTGCCAAATCAGCTTTAACGGCATAACGTGAATTTGCCAGTGATTGAACTTTGCTCGGAAACAGAAGTCACCTGGAAGTACCTGGAAGGGTGGAGCCAAACAAAACGGAACAGCGTCCAAGTAAAATTTCATTAGTTCATTATGTAAGAGTTTGGAAAAGCGATGTCGTGTCACTGTTTCTGTTATGTACTGAAGCTCTCACCCTGGAGGGAGAAGAGTTGGTGGAAGAAGACTGGAAAAAATTTAAAGTATATTTACAAAAACATTGCAAAATTAATGAATGTTAGAAGGATGCTGGAATGAAGCTATATGGTTTTATCAGAAATGTATTAAAGAATTAAGTAAAAGCTGATTGATAATGGGCTAATGAAAAAAATTAAGGTTAGACCGTTAAGATAGATTATAGAACAAAAATTGAGAAAGATGGAAAGAATTTGCTGAAATAGTGAATTGAACTAGAATACAAAAAAGGGAGGTGTGAGGAGGTCGATGAAACAAGTAAATGAAAGGTAAAGATATGGAATACTGGATGTGTTTTAGTGTTTTGTTTTGTTTTTGCTGTATTGTTGTATTGTTTTTTTATGTCTCTCTTTTTATTTATTGTAATGTATGTTCTGTTAATTTTTTTTATTATTTTCCTCTTCTCTTTTTTTTGTAATCTTTAAACTTTTAATAAATATAATTTTTTTAAAAAATGAAGTTCTCACCCTGGGCCAGCAGGGGGATACTGTAGATAGTTTTCACTCAGGTCCACATATGCAAATAAGGGATTGAAAGTGACGTTCAGTGAATGGATAGTTACAGAAAATGGTTACTGTTGCGTTCTAGTGGAGCTCTATATAAGCAGGCTGGCTGAACCCTTCAGTTCAGTTCTGTTCTGGCCTGTGAAGAAACAAGAGCTGTTTGAAGAATCGCTGTGTCGTCTGATAAGTTCACCCACAACTTAACAGTTTCTATTAGCAATTTTCAAAAAAGTAAACAACAACAACAACCCTAAGTTGTTTAAACCAGACAGGCTTTTTCTGACGCAGCAAAACATTCAGTTCCAGGAACAGGGAAATGTAATAAAATTATTTTAGTTTTCATCGGAGGTTTTGGTTTTTATTGCTTTTTATTATTATTATATGGATATCTCTACTTTTATGTCCATAACTTAATACCCACCTGGAAATAAGGATGCGGCTTTGACATTTTCCTTTTTAATTTTTTTTTGAAATTCTTTATTGATTAAAAATTTACATATCTATACAAACATTATATGCTATCTCTTTACATATGAAGAAAAAGAAAATCATGTAGAGAATAGAAAATTTCTAAAGGAACAAAAAAGAGGAAAAGAAAAAATAAAGAAATAAACACACGAAGTAAAAAAAAATCAAAAGAGGAAAAGAAAAGACATTATTTACACAATAAAAGTGTTCATTGACACAAACCTTGCCATCCTTCTCATTATACTGTAATATAAACTTTTTTAAAAACACAGTTTTGTATTGTATAATATCATTTCTTTCTACTTTGTACATATTCCTCTAATCGTTTTCTTTACAAATATCACTCAATTTCTGCTAATACGGAATTATTTGTACAATAAAGTTTTACATAGTTCTGGAATATTATCCATTCTCTAGTTGTTTTTTGTTTCGATGTTCCTCTAACCGATCCCGTCAGTTTTGCTAATTGTAGATATTCTGACATGAGTATCTGCCAGTCAGTAATCTCTGGAAGTGTGTCATTCTTCCAGTTCCTTGCTACAAGGATTCTAGCTGCTGTTATACCATACATAAACAATGTTCTTCTTTCTTTTTTTAATTCGGCTTTGACATTTCTCATATAAAATAAAAGCCAGGGGGAAAATAGTGTGCTTGGGGGGGGGGGATAGATTATGTAATGCATAGAGAACTCTGCACATGCTCAGAGAAAGGCCTCACACTGGTTCCGCCCCCCCCAGACAGATAAAATACACTGTGGCCTTCTAATAGAGCGTAGATATTTTAGCAATGACAAGCCTAGACAGCATCTTAAAAAGCAGAGACATCACCTTGCCGACAAAGGTCCGTATAGTCAAAGCTACGGTTTTCCCAGTAGTGATGTATGGAAGTGAGAGCTGGACCATAAAGAAGGCTGATCGCCGAAGAATGGATGCTTTTGAATTCTGGTGCTGGAGGAGACTCTTGAGAGTCCCATGGACTGCCAGAAGATCAAACCTCTCCATTCTGAAGGAAATCAGCCCTGAGTGCTCACTGGAAGGACAGATCCTGAAGCTGAGGCTCCAAGACTTTGGCCACCTCAGGAGAAGAGAAGACTCCCTGGAAAAGACCCTGATGTTGGGAAAGATGGAGGGCACAAAGAGAAGGGGACGACAGAGGACGAGATGGTTGGACAGTGTTCTCAAAGTTACGAACATGAGTTTGACCAAACTGCGGGAGGCAGTGGAAGACAGGAGTGCCTGATCTGCTCTGGTCCATGGGGTTACCAAGAGTTGGACACGACTAAACGACTAAACAACAACAAATTTTAGTTCTCCGAATTTTGTTCGACTTCAACTCCCACCCAGTCTGAAATCCTGGAGAGCCTCTTTGGGTCAGAGGTTGGACGATACTGAGCTAGATCGATCCAATATCTAATTTTGTATAAGGCCCGTGCCCACTTTTGGAAAAGTTAATTGAATACAGACTAGGTACAATATGCCCCGAATTTGTTTGTGAAGCCAAGGCTCGGCTATGGAACACGAGAGGCAATGACAAAGAGAGTGTCGCTGAACATGTGCAGAGTGTGGACACTCTGCCTTTTTAAAAATATAGCAACTTTTTGAATATTTGCATCAGCCACCAGCCATAGCAATAAAACAAAATGTCTTTACCCAGGTGTGTGTGCAAGGGGTGCGGGGTTGCCAAATGTATACCTACCACAGGTATGAAGTTTACGGCATGTAATGCCCTAAGAGAGAATATTATGAAAATGATATACAGGTGGTACATGACCCCAGTCAAGCTTGCAAAAATCTACCATTTGCCCGATAATAAATGTTGGAAATGTAAAGAAACTGAAGGTACATTCTTTCACCTTTGGTGGACGTGCCCAAGGATTAAGGTTTTTTGGGAGATGATTTATAATGAATTAAAAAAGGTATTTAAATATACCTTCTTGAAGAAACCAGAGGCCTTTCTCTTGGGCATAGTCGACCAATCGGTGTTAAAGAAGGACAGAACTTTCTTTATGTATGCTACAACAGCAGCAAGAATACTCATTGCAAAGCATTGGAAGACACAAGATCTACCCACACTGGAGGAATGGCAGATGAAAATGATGGACTACATGGAATTGGCAGAAATGACTGGCAGAATCCGAGACCAGGGAGAAGAGTCGGTGGAAGAAGATTGGAAGAAATTTAAAGACTACTTACAGAAATATTGTAAAATTAATGAATGTTAGAATGATGACGGATTGAAGTTAAGTGGTTTCTAGCTGTACAGGCACAAAAAAATATGGAAAAATTGGTTTTTAATAGGTAAAAATTTAATGTTATAATATATTAAGATTAAAGATCAGGATTAAAAAGGAGGGAAAGAAATTGCTGGACTAACAAACCGAATTGGAATACAAAAGAGGGAGGTATGAGGAGGTCCGGGAAACAAGTAAACGTAAAAGAAGTGGTGAAAAGACGGAATTGTTTTTAACTGTTTTTTCTTTTTTCTTTTTGTATTTTGTATTGTGTATTTTTCTTTTTATTGTTAATTTTTTTTTTATTAATGTGATCCTTTTCTTGTGAAACTTCAATAAATATCATTTTTTAAAAAAACAAATGTATACCTACTGTATACCGGTTCCTCTTAATCGGCGGCAGTGAAAAGCAATGGAGTGAAAGTCCTCCTCCCCCCCACTGCCGCTCTGTTACTGTGTAGCCATGGGACAACATTGCTCCGTCCCTGAGGAGAAAAGCGCCGTCGTGTGAGGAAGAGGGAGGGAGAGGGAAAGAACGCACGTGCTGGCGATCCATGCGGCGATTCCTGGACCGTCTGCGGGCCGGATCTAGAAGGCAATTGGTCCTGATTTGGCCCACGGGCCTTAGTTTGCCGACCCATGCTCTTATGCATATTGATAGTGTGCTCAGCTTAACAGATACTTGCCAGACTATATTTGAAAAGGGAGGTACAGTGGTACCTCGGGTTACAGATGCTTCAGGTTACAGACGCCACTAACCCAGAAATAGTACCTTTGCTTCAGGATGAGAACAGAAATCGCGCAGCAGCGGTGTGGCGGCAGTGGGAGGCCCCATTAGCTAAAGTGGTACCTCAGGTTAAGAACAGTTTCAGGTTAAGAACGGACCTCCAGAACGAATTATCAATCAATCTTTATTACCGTCCAGAGACCCAACAAATCGTTACAAAACAATGCACACCTTACATTAAAAACCCCACAGTACCAAATTATCTAAGGTTATTCACAAAAGCCAGACTAAACGTCTTTCCTTCCGCAGTGTTGGATGGCAGGTTGAGAGGAGTTCCCTACCAGGACAGACTTTGCTCGTATACCCAAGACATCGATTCTATAAAACATATTTTGCTGCGCTGTGCGAAATACGAGCAAGCCAGGGCTGAACTGATATTACCCTTGCTGCTACCTTTCCCTGGAAAATCAGAGGCTCACTATGTCAGGTTCCTATTGGAAGACCGGACAAACGCTAGAACATTAGCAGAACGAATTAAGTTCTTAACCCGAGGTACCACTGTATGAGCCCCTATGTCCAAAGACAATTGGAAAGCTTTCCCCATTTCCTTCCTCATTGCAGAGAAATATTTGAGGTCAATTTGGGAAAATGGCTTCAGGATTGTTCTCCTGTACTATTTCAGACACGTGGTTTATATACTGATTGTGTCTTTGCCTTGTACATTTACGAACATTTATT